CAAACAATTCGAAGAATGTTTTTTAAATTTAAAGCTTCTGGACTGCTGGATTTTCTCACCGTCAGCAGAAAAGTCGCCGAGGGTTGCTTAGTTGCATTTCCTTAGTCTGTTAGTTTGTTCTGAGAACCTTTTCTAAACTTACTAGTTTCTGACAGGGCATACTCACCCAGCATAACTTATCGATCCTTTTGAAATCAATTAGTTGATCACTCCTCAGTATTTTCACACTTTCCTTCTCTTCTTGATCTGTTTTAAATTTTTTGTACTTTTTGAATATTGTTTGGGAAGATAAAATCTTACTCATGAAAACTTTTGTAGTTAGGTGAGTCAAAGTCTAATAGAGTCTTTAGAAAAAATTATCCCACTCAGGCACTGAATGCAAATGTAATGAGGTGGTTAATTTGCAAACTACCCTACCCTGAAATTGAAGTTGATTACAACATCATCAGTCTATTCTGGCAATTGAGAGCCGAGATAGTGATCCTCAAATTCTAGCTGACGTAGTAGGGCTGTTCAACTCTTGTGACGTGACCTGTGAATAAAGCAAATTTCATTCATAACCAAGCTCCAACCATAGTTTTGATTGCTCAGATAGAAATATATAGTTTTCTTAAGCATGAATAAACCACCACTCAACCGAAAAAGCTTAAGTTGATGGGTTGGGTAAATTTAATTCATATATTGGATATCTAACATTTCCCCTCACTTGTGGGCTTGGATTATTGCACAGAGGCCCAACAAGTGGAAATCATAATAAATGGGGAGAAAACAACAATGCAGGGGTTCGAATACAGGATCTCTCGCTCTGATACCATCTTAAGAGTGAACCAGGTTTGGTAGCAACAATTCTTGGGATGGAATGATCTTTTCGTAGAAAGAAATACTATTGCGAAGGTGGTTGACTTGGGTTAACTTGCTCCTCACTAGTATCCCCCTTTATTGTCTCTTCACTTTTTTGCTTTCGAATAAGGTTAGCAATTCCCTTGATAAAATTCCAGAGAGCTAAGGAGGGTGGAAGCCACCTTGTTAGGTGCATTTAGGTTACAGCCTGAAAATTATCAGTATGGATCTCGGCATGGGCGATTTTAGAACAAAGCTCCGTTTGCTATATGTCTTTGTAGGTACTCTGCAACACTATTGTTGTAGAATTCTTCTTTGTTAGTTCAATATGGATTGAGTTTTGATCAAAGGGCAGTTAATAATGTGTTTCAGCGTTTTAGCGGGCCTATTACATTCATCCTTCTTCAGCATTTAGATTCTTATGGATTAATGCTGTCAAAGCATTATTGATGTATATCAAGTAGAAGATAATTCGAAGTATTGAATCCTTTGAAAAACAGGGGCTAAGGCTTTTATAAGCAGCCCCTCTAACGGATCTTTTATCCGAAGCCTAACTAATTAAATGACTAACTAACATAACAGCTTTAAAAGAAAGGCTAAAGGCTTATAATGCCTACATCAAATTCCCTCCCCCTAATAAAAAACTTGCCCTCAAGTTTATTCTGCAAGTCTGAAGCAATGTTTTAAAAGTCTTAAGGTGGCCTTGAGACTTTTTCTTAGCGAGGGGCGAGGCGTAAGCCTCGAGGCAGTATGAGGCGTAGGCTTCATTTTAAATAAGGAATCATAAAAATTTTAAACTTTGTATTATAAAAGTACAAAACATACTTAAAAATTCTAACAACAAAAGAAATATCTCAATAGTTCATTGATGTACTGAGTACATCTAACCTTTCAGAATCATTATCGCTAAAAAAATAAAAATTAAACCAAGAAAAAATTTGCAAAACAAGTTGAGGTGGAAAAAGAGAGGAAAAAAAGGGAGAA